ATTTTTGAAACATTAGTGGCAACGTTGCTGACCGGTAAAACGATGTAACTTGGAGGCTTTTCTTCAATTTGATAGGTGTTGGTCTTGCTGAGGATACGTGTTGCACGTTTCCTGCAGTCACGTATGAAGTGTAGGGGAAAGTGTAGTGAACTAAAAGAGTTGGTGATGTATGTACATTCTTCTTCGAGGAACTGCGGACTGGAAATTCTGTAGGCTCTCAGAAAGAAGCCAATAACTACCCTCTTTTAGTTCTTGTGTCAGGGTGAGAGAAGAAATGTAGAAGATCATTCTTGTAGGTAGGCTTCCGGTAGACTTTAAAAGAAAGTTTGCTTTCCCCTGTGCGTAAGAGAACGTCGAGAAAAGGTAACTGGTTGTCCTTCTCCTCCTCTAGAGTAAATTTAATAGTAGGTTCCAGAGTGTTGATGGTGTTGAGGATGCCCTGTACGTCAAGATTTTTGGGTACAATGACCAAAATATCATCTACGTACCGCATCCAAGTAACTGAACGAGGGATGTTATTGAGGATCCTTCTTGATTCCAGGTCCTCCATATATAAATTGGCAAGAACTGCACTAAGGGGGGATCCCATGGCTAGTCCGAAGAGTTGTTTGTACTTCTCGTCCTCGAACCTATAATAGTTATAACGAACACAGAGTTCGACAAGGCTCACAAAATCTTGGCGGGGTACAGGTAACTCTGTATCATCTTTAATCACCCTGCGAAGAAGATCAATGGCTTGATCAACTGGGACATTGGTGAATAAGGCAGTCACGTCAAAACTTGCAAGCTTCTTATCACTCATGTCGAGATCCCTGATACGGTTAAGGAGGTCACCCGAATGCTTTAGATGAGCCTGACTGATTGTACCCAGGAGCTTTGACAAATATTTCGCCAAAACTCCTGCTAGACTGTGAGGGGCGCTGCCGATACCAGATGTAATGGGTCTCATAGGCACATTTGGTTTGTGGGTCTTTGGTAAACCATAAAGTCTAGCTGACTTGGGGTTGGTAGGGATGTGGCGCAAGAGCTTTTTACCTTCTTCTGATTTCCTGAGTATACTGCGGGTCTTACTGAGAAAAGAATCTGTTTCTTTCCTCCATGCATGCTCGGGGATGGAAACGTATGTGTTGGCGTCGTTCAATAAATCTTGCATCTTACTAACGTAGTCTGTACTGTTGAGGATGACCACTCCTCCTCCTTTGTCCGCTGTGGTGATGAGAATATCATTATTGGTAGCTAAGTGTTTGAGTGCCTGGATGTAGCGACGAGGAATGACTGGACGACTAGGTTCAGAAACTGCAGCTGCAATAAGTCCCCGAGCATGCATGGAGGAAAGAAACAGATTCTTTTCTCAGTAAGACCCGCAGTATACTCAGGAAATCAGAAGAAGGTAAAAAGCTCTTGCGCCACATCCCTACCAACCCCAAGTCAGCTAGACTTTATGGTTTACCAAAGACCCACAAACCAAATGTGCCTATGAGACCCATTACATCTGGTATCGGCAGCGCCCCTCACAGTCTAGCAGGAGTTTTGGCGAAATATTTGTCAAAGCTCCTGGGTACAATCAGTCAGGCTCATCTAAAGCATTCGGGTGACCTCCTTAACCGTATCAGGGATCTCGACATGAGTGATAAGAAGCTTGCAAGTTTTGACGTGACTGCCTTATTCACCAATGTCCCAGTTGATCAAGCTATTGATCTTCTTCGCAGGGTGATTAAAGATGATACAGAGTTACCTGTACCCCGCCAAGATTTTGTGAGCCCCTTTTCGAACTTTGTGTTCGTTATAAACTGTTTTAGGTTCGAGGACAAGAAGTACAAACAACTCTTCGGACTAGCCATGGGATCCCCCTTAGTGCAGTTCTTGCCAATTTATATATGGAGGACCTGGAATCAAGAAGGATCCTCAATAACATCCCTCGTTCAGTTACTTGGATGCGGTACGTAGATGATATTTTGGTCATTGTACCCAAAATCTTGACGTACAGGGCATCCTCAACACCATCAACACTCTGGAACCTACTATTAAATTTACTCTAGAGGAGGAGAAGGACAACCAGTTACCTTTTCTCGACGTTCTCTTACGCACAGGGAAAGCAAACTTTCTTTTAAAGTCTACCGGAAGCCTACCTACAAGAATGATCTTCTACATTTCTTCTCTCACCATGACACAAGAACTAAAAGAGGGGTAGTTATTGGCTTCTTTCTGAGAGCCTACAGAATTTCCAGTCCGCAGTTCCTCGAAGAAGAATGTACATACATCACCAACTCTTTTAGTTCACTACACTTCCCCTACACTTCATACGTGACTGCAGGAAAGTGCAACACGTATCCTCAGCAAGACCAACACCTATCAAATTGAAGAAAAGCCTCCAAGTTACATCGTTTTACCGGTCAGCAACGTTGCCACTAATGTTTCAAAAATGTTTGACAGAAAACTGGCTAAAATATCTACCCGCTCTTCAACTACTATTAGGAACCTGATACAAAAACCAAGCATGATTCTGGCACAAGTGCAGGAATCTACACTATACCATGTGGGGGGTGTGACAAAGTATATGTAGGGGAAACAGCCAGAACTCTGGACATTAGGATAGCAGAACACAAAAATGCTTGCAGAAATGATGACCGCAAAAACGCATGTGTTCAACATAGAGACGATGCTGGACACCTCATGAAATTCAATGAAGCTAAACTAGTTATTAAAGAAGACGACTTAAGACGGAGAAAATGCATTGAAGCTGCACTAATTTCTGTCAGTAACACTATAAAGCAAAAATCCGGTAGTTACAGTATTTCAAAATTACTAAGCAAGAGGATATTACCCATCCTGGGAACTGGTGTTACTTGATGCCAGCAGGTCCCTCTCTAACCTCACCTCCTTAGTTCCATTACTACTACTACTATTACTACCACCTCTACCCACGCTTCACCTCACCTGACTCCCACCACTATATATATGTGTGTTTTCTTAGTTTTCTCTGTATTAGGACTGAAGAAGCCACTCGTGGCGAAACGTTTCCTTTAATAAATGTCCTGAACTGTACATAAGTGTCTTTTTCCACATAGTAGGTTTTGTCAGTGTTAAGCGTAAGTTTATTGGCTGTCATCCAAGTCGATATTTTGATCAGCTCCTCGTTAACAATGGTGTTGAGGGTGGCAAGATTAGGGTGACAGATGACATAAGTCATGTCGTCAGCAAAGAGAATGGGTTTCAGGTGTTGGGATACGTTTGGAAGATCATTGATGTATATGAGGAAGAGCAGGGGACCAAGGACACTTCCCTGCGGAACTCCAGTATCAAGTGGCCGTGTTGTTGATGCTGTGTCTTTAATGGTAACATACTGATACCTATTAGTAAGGTAAGATTTGAAATAAGCAAGCGCATGGCCTCTTATACCGTAATGGTCAAGTTTGTGGAGTAGGATGTCGTGGTCTACTGTGTCAAAAGCTTTTCTTAGGTCAATAAAAATTCCTATTGGATATTCCTTATTTTCCAATGCTGTGTAAAGCAGATCTAGCATTTTTATGATTGCATCATTAGTGCTTTTATTTTTCCTAAATCCAAATTGGCAGGGGTTGAGTATGTTTTTTGTGTTATATAAATGAATATAGTCTCCTGTACACGAGTTTCTCAAAGATTTTGGATAGCAATGGTAAGTTTGATATTGGCCTATAGTTGTTTAAGTCTGTAGGGTCACCACCTTTATGTATTGGTGTAACCCTTGCCATCTTGAGTAGTTTCGGGAAGGTGCTAGTTTCTAGTGACTTGTTAAAAAGTAATGAAATAGCATGCGAAAGGATATGGGCCGCTTGCTTGTACAGTAATGGTGGGACATTAGACAGATTCCCTGAGTTGTTTTTAAGTGACTTTATAATCTCGGTGACTTCCGAGGGCTCAGTTGGTGCAAGATAGAACGAATTTGGGAAATTCCCATCTAGGTAGTCCCCGGCATGGGCATTAGTATGTGGGATTTTATTGGCGAGATTAGATCCTATGGTTGAGAAGAAGTCGTTTATCTTGTTAGCTGTTTCAGTGGGATGTAGTGGTGTTTCATTAGGTTTAGTTAGGACAATATTCTTGTTTTTTTTCAGTTTGTGGGTCCCTAGTATCTGAGAGAGTGTTTTCCAGGTCTTTTTTATATCTCCTCTAGTGTCTGTGAATCTACTGGAGTAGTATAGTTGTTTGGCTTTCTTTATTACTTTGGTGAGAACTGATGAATAGTGTTTAAGAATATCTTTGTGTATTAAGCCCTGTCTATATTGCTTTTCATATTGGTGTTTCTTGTCAATGGATTTCAGAATGGTGCTGGTTAGCCATGGGCAACCAAGCCGTTTGTTTGTGATCTGTTTCGTTTTTATAGGACAATGTTTGTTGTATAGTCTAAGTAATTTGTTAAGAAAAATGTCTGTCCAGTCATCAATACCATTGGCCTTGGAGAATTCTGTAGGCCAGTCAACAATCTCTAGGTCAGTTGTGAACTTCCTTATTGAGGCCTCGTCATGGAGTCTAAATGAGACTTTGTTGTATTCAAGTGGTGGTTTATTAATGTTTGTCAGGAGGAAGGTAGGGTAGTGGTCTGTAGTGCTATCTGTGATTATCCCTGATTTAAGGGGGGCTAGTATATTGGTCCATATGTGGTCTATTATGGTTGCACTTGTCTCAGTAAGCCTGGTTGGTTTAGTTATTGTTGGTATGAGAAGTGTGTTGTTCATATTGTTGATGAAATCAGTTACAGGCTGATCATCTAGTAAGCCAAGGTTGATGTTGAAGTCTCCAGCTAAGAGAAGGTGGTGCTTATTCATACTCGCTTTTCGTTAGATTTGTTTTTGCACTACCATGCTTCAGACTCTTGCCAGGGGTTATTTCATAGAGATCCAAAACCTTCCCTCACTATTTTTTTAGGTGTAAATTATGATAATTTTTTCATTCACGCCGGCACTCCAGAATACACTTTAGTGTACCAGACACTAACAGATTTAACTTTTCTTTTTTTTCAGTGCTGACGTACATGGGCGCATCCGAACCGGGAAGGCCAAGAGTAGGATTGACTGCTAATTTATCTGGAGATCGGGCATTGCTGCATCGATGTAAACAATGATGGCCCCTCTACGACGAGTGAAGCTGACAGAGCTAAATGCTCATTTGGTGTGTGTACTTTGCTCTGGATATTTTGTTGATGCCACCACTATTATTGAATGTCTGCACACATTTTGCAAGACATGTATCGTGCGATACCTTCAGACCTCTTCGTTTTGTCCCATCTGCGATGTACAGGTTAGTTTTACCAAAACGACAAGTAACATAATTATGACCAGTTTCAAAACCGGCCTAATCAGTCAGGGTGTTGAACAGTTCACTTTTGCACTTTTGAAATAATAAATGTATAATCACACAAGATACAAGTATGGATCATATAAGACCTCACATTTTCCTCTCTATTTTACAGGTTCACAAAACTAAACCACTGTTGTCTTTGCGAGAGGACCGAACATTACAGGATGTTGTGTTTAAACTGGTGCCTGGCTTGTTTCACTCTGAAATGAATAGACGGTTCTGCTTTTATAAAGAACATCCAGAAGCAGGTGAGTGTTGCGAATACAAGCAACGGATATTACAAGGGAAAGATTCGAGTTTTGATGAAGCACTTAAACAAGTTATGCAACCCATCCTCCATATTTACTAAGCCACTGTTTCCTCGAGTGAAAATGCCTCCCCTCCCCCCAGTTTTTTTTTATTTATTTTCGTTACATTATCAGAATTGGTTATATTACGTTTACCAAAGCTAAACCTAAAATAATATTCACAGAAAAGTCGGGTAATGTAGAGAATATCAGAAATTCGCGTTTCTTTTCACACGTTCTCACACTTTTAGATGCTAACATATTTCTTCAGGAGGAAAGGTTACCCAAACCCTTGTGGGTTTAGCTAACCTTATCAAAAATCGAGCACATTTCATAGTTTTTGTCAGTAAGGTGTTGAGAGTTACCACGAGTATCCTGCAACTAGTTTTTGTCTTGTGGAAGTACTAAACCCTTGTGGAAGTATCTTATATTCTACTACACTGAATTATCTACTTCATATTTAACCACTTCAACACGGAAATGATTGTAAATTTCAAGAGCATTTTTAGTGGTACAACACTATTACAAAAACCATGAATTTTTTTTCCCCTCATTGAGTCACGTTGTTTCTATTTTTTTTTTTTTTAGGTGGAGATAAAACTGAACAGAGTTTGAGAGAACGACGTCATTTCTTCCACGCTGATGACCAGATATCCTTATCCTTAGAGTACCTCCCTGCTACTCCTTCCCTAAACCATTCACATCTTCACCCCCATATCATAAAACCTCTGAAGGTCAGTAACGGCCAACAGGAGAAACAGAAGCTAACAGGAGATAAGGATGGAGTAACAGGAGGGAAGGAAGAGGTGAAGAAGGAAGATGGAGTGGAAGAACGAGAGGTGAACGGTATTAAGGTAAGAATTCTTTATTGTCATGTGGAAGAGCTAAACTTATAAATGTGGTACAGCATCTGGGAAATGGGAGGTAACTGAATCTTATCCAGGAAAAGAAGGATAACTCCAATTCCTTGGATCAAATGGTTCACTGGTATCACGAACCCCCTACCTCCCCTAAGGGTAAAATGGAGAGAAAAATTATATGAAAATACGAGTGTAGTGTTTGGTATAGGTGTACTGTGTTAAAAAAAAACTTACACTTTTTCTTTAGACATTGTGTATGCTCATTGTTTTTTGGGTTTTATGGAGGAATTTTTCCATAAAAATTATCTTTTTTTTTTATAACTGAAAAATAGTTGTACACAGATGTTAGTGATTTTAATTTTTTTATTGTAATTTCTGTTCAAATATATTTTCTCTGTTCTGTGACTTCCATTGAATTAGTGATGTTAAGAAATAAAAAAAATTAAAACCTAGATAATTTCTTAGCATTCTTTTCCTTTAATTCGATGTTGTTCTTTATGGCCAACATAACCAATTCAGAATTTTCTAAGCTGTGCAGTCATTCTTTACATATTTTGTAAATTCTTTTATAAGTTTTTGGTTAATATCTATCCATTGACGGGTGAGATACTGCCACTGCCTCGATCACTATACCATGCTAAGATCTGGCGCTTCAGAATCCAGCAGGGATATGCGAGCATGTTAGATAGGAGTGCAGATAAGTGGTTTTTAAAAACTATTTTGCTTAAATTAACGCAAACCATATTTGTATTCCTCAGATGGCACATAAAAGATACCTGAGGTGTCCAGCAGCAGTGCAGGTGTCACATCTGGAGAAATTCATCCGACTGAAGTACAGTCTGACACCCTTGACTCATAAGGTAAATAATTATTCTCGTTTTACTGAAGCAATTAAGGTCAGTATGTAAGTACATGTTAGACACATCTTTATTGATTTATTCTCCATATTGTATTTCTTTTTTTCTCTCTCATTGATTCACAGGTAGACATTATGCATGGTGGTGACTGTTTGGTGGGTGAATTAACTCTGCTGGATGTGGTATACATGTACAAATGGACAGAGGATGCTCCTCTTCGTTTGATGTATACAGTTACTGCTATTCCTCAATCACGCAAAAGACCCAGACCGAGTGGAATGAGAGCTCCAGTTACCACTGACCCTGAAGCTCCACCCTCTAAGATTGCAAGAACTCAATCATCCTGTGTTCAGGCATCCCACCTTCATGTGTCGCCACATATGCCAAAAGGGCAAGATGCTTCAAGGGATCAGAGCGAATGCTCGCCAGTGACAATTGCTGATTCTGGTGATATAAAAATGGAGGTAAATAAAATTGATGAAGTTCAGCCTTCTCAATATACCTCTAATAATCACAAAACCAGTGTGATGCCTACAGATGATTCTGTATGTTCACAGAATCTTCCAAGCACAAGCCTTGTTAACATAAGTTGCAGTAGTACAGGTAGTGCAAAACAGTTGTCTGACTCTGCTCCCACTAGAGGTCGACCAGCTCTTACAACCACCACATTAGCTACAGCAACACCCCGAGTGGCCTTGGCACATATACCTTCACCTGTAAACCCCACCTCAAGCACATCAGTTTCTGTTCAAGTATCAGAACCGATAATGACCTCCCTCACCATAACCCCATCAGTTACCACTACAACTACCTCCCACAATAGTCTTAGTATTGCTTCAATTGGAAATGCTAGGATGCACATGTCACACAGCACTGTAAATAACATAACAGAAGCTGCCCTGAAGCCAGTATGTGCTTCAGGTCCATACTTGAACAAAATGCTGCAACCAATCATTCCAACACGCCCTCGATTGGGCCGGCCTCCAAATTCATCTCGGATAACTGCTGCAACTATGAAGCCACCAGCTCCAAGATTAGGCAGTGTACAAAATCCTCGCCTTCCTCCACCAGCCAGCAAGAAAATGTCTCCATCTGGTGTGAACTGTCGGGGAAATCAAACAGTTTCTGCAAGTCTCAATGTACAGAGTCGTTTGAGCAGTATTAGTGGACCACCTGTGAAACTTGGTACTACAAAAGTTTCAGTTAAGAGATCAAATGAGGTCATTAAAGATAATGGACAAATTCCTAGTCAGTCAGATACACAGGTAACTAAACCTCAGCTTTCATTTCCCACCCCTAATATATCAACAATAAAAGACACTCAAGATACCCAATGCCCCCCAGATAAGAAACCTAATTTATCTCCTAAAATTCCATCTACTACCTCTAACAGTCCATCCACTACACAAACTGTTACACCAACTAACCAGGTGCATGAAGAAGCACCACCTCTTACTACCATTGACACTCAAGCTATTCGCATGACTCAAGATACCCTGCCAGTGCAATATACATCTGACATTCAGGCTGTTAACCCGTCTCCTGAAAGCACAGCTCCTCAGAGGATGCACGATATTACAGTCAGTCTTCCTAATAACCAGTCTACTCAAAAACCTGGCTCTCCAACTAACCAACAACCTAATACTCAATCTAATCAGCAATCACCGAACACTCAGGTAAACCAGCGACCTGGCCATCAAGTCAATCGACATCCCCCAAGTACCCAGGTCACCCAAAAGCCCCCGAATACCCAGGCCAATAAACGGCCCCAAAACACCCAGACCAATCAAAGGTCTCCAAATATTCAGGCCAATCAGCAGCCTTCAAATATAAAAACCAGTCAACGGCCCCAGAATTCCCAAGCCAATCAACGATCCCCAAATATCCTGGCCAATCAACAGCCTCCAAATACTCAGTCCAGTCAGTCTTCAAATACCCAGGCTAATCAAAAGTTTCCAAATACCCAGGATAATCAGCAGCCTACAAATCCCCAGGCTAATCAACAGCCTCTAAATATCCATGTCAATCAACAGTCAAATACCCAAGGTAATCAATCTCCAAATCCCCAGGTCAATCAACAGCTCCCAAATAACAAGGCCAATCAACGGTCCCCTTCCGCTCAGGCCAATCAGCGACCCCCAAATACCCATGCCAATCAACGACCCCTAAATATCCAGGCCAGTCAACGACCTCCAAATACCCAGGCCAATCAACGACCCGCAAATACCCAGACCAATCAACGACCCCCAAATACCCAGACCAATCAACGACCCCCAAATACCCAGACCAATCAACGACCCGCTTCTACTCAGGTTAATCATTATCCACCTGCACAGTCCACTCAGTGTTCTGGCACACAATCTCAGCGTCCTTCTGATACCCAACATCTTGGTAATGAAGGTAGTAAGTGGCCCACTACCAATACCAATCAACAGTTGCCTGGTACCAAATCTAGCCTACATAATTCAGGCGTGCATGTGACTCAGCAAATCAATCAGCAACCTTTGGGCACTCAAACTACTCAAAGCTCCCCAAGTAGCAGTACAATGCAAAGGCCTGTCAATCCTGTGCACCAGCAAGTCAGTAATGCTAGTGCACAAAGACCATGCACAACGGTTCATCAGCGTTCACCTGCAACCTCGCTGGTTCAGCGGTCAACACCTGTCTCTTCACGTCCTCCTGGTAGTCCAGCTCCCCACAGACCACCTAGTAGTCCAGCACCTTATCAACCCAGTAGCCCAGCACCTCATCGACCACCTAGTAGTCCAGCACCTCATCGACCACCTAGTAGTCCAGCACCTCATCGACCACCCAGTAGTCCAGCACCTCATAGACCATCTAGTAGTCCAGCACCTCATCGACCACCTAGTAGTCCAGCACCTCATCGACCACCTAGTAGTCCAGCACCTCATCGACCACCTAGTAGTCCCGCTCCCCATCGACAACCTAGTAGCCCAGCACCACACGTACAGCCTAGTAGCCCAGCTCCCCACCAACAGCCTAGTAGCCCATCGCATCAACCTAGTAGTCCAACTTCCCAGGTACCGTCCAGTAGTCCAGCACCTCACCGACAAACTGGCAGCACTACACCTCGTTCACACAATACCCTGTCAACACCTACAGTTGCTGGGCCCACACCATCAAGATCAACACCACCCAGAATCACATCATCGACATCGACAGTTTCATTGACACTCGGTAACAAAGAGGCATCACCAGCTTCCAGCTCTCTGGCAAGTATGAGTCATGTTGCAGGGTCTGCCAGCACATCCACTAGTATACCAAGTGGAAAGTCAACTGGATCAAAGTCTGGAATGACATTTACACAAGCCCGTTCTACTCACTCACTCAACAGCTCCAATGTTAAGACTTTACTTAGTAAAACTCAGTCTTCTTCTGGAGTGAAAGCTTCACCCAAGTCACCAGGACGTGGACGTGGTAGCTCTGGATCACAAAACATATTAAGCATCGCTCAATCCTTAGCCAGTAGGCAACTTCAGCAACGCACTACAGCCTCTTCAACATCCACAAATACCACCACAACCAATGTTGCTGCAACACAAGTTGGCAGACACCAAGTTTTCCAGAGTACAGCTCCCAATGCCAGTGTTTATTCAAACGCAATGGGTGGTGGACTGGTCTCGCCAGCATTAGCAGCCTTTATGGCTTCGGCCTATGGTGATGCTTCTGCACTTAATGATGTAACTGCCATGAGAAATCTTATCACGCTTAGCCAGACAGCTGCTTGCATTCGGGATTTTAATCTTGCTGCTATGGTTAAGGCAGCAGAAACTCTTCCTCGTCCTGCAGATCCCACGCCTATTGATCTCTCACCCACATCAAAAGCCGCTCCTCAGTCCCCACTTACTAATGGTCGTGCTCACGCCTCTACTAGTGCTGCTGTGGCTTCTAGCACCAAAACACTGGTTTCACACACTTCCAAATCGCCATCATCTAAAAGCAGACGATCTGCTGATGCTTCTACTGCACCAACTATATCACCTCCCACACCTGAAGTCACCATTACCAAACTTCCCAATAACCCTACATCCACGTCCAATTCCAGTACAGGAACAGGAAAGAGCAACTTAGGATCGATGAAACTTGGCCCCACCAACACAAATACGGTTTCCATCACTAAGCGACCAGCATCCAATAATCGGATTGCTGTGGCCAAGTCCCCTGCAAATGCTTCTGTCAGACAGATTCCTAACCCATCTTATCTAAGACACCATTCAGAAGCACGTAACAACGTCTCCAAATCCACATCGCAATCATCAGTTTCTGGTTCTTCCCAAAACAACACCTCAAATAAAGCACATGTATCAGCTAAACCATCAACCTCAGGTGGACGAAACACTGGGAATTCTCCTCTTAAGGAAACTGGTCCATTACCAGAAACATCATCTATATTAAAGATTGAACATCTCACCAGATCACTGGCTGCACCTGCTTCACAATCGTACAGGATTTTTGATGATAGATAGGATTAGATAGAAGTGAAGGAAATATCTACTGTAAAGGCTCAAGTCAACTAAATAAATGGGATCAAATATATGAAAGACATATGTTTTATGAAGATAATGAAATAATAATTACTATTCTATTATATATATGGTTTTATCTAAATCTTATGAAAGTGCTGCAACTCAGTGCCTTGTTTTTGAGGGATTGTGGAAGTTCCATTGAAATCTGAAAATAAAATTGTGTAAAAACTAACACATTTAATTATCGCATATGATGGAAAATGCAAATACTACAGTACTTTACATTAGTAGAAATAAGAATGTTTCTTCAACTTTTATATTATCATTAAATACTACTTTGTTAATACAGTGTTTAAATTTATATGAAAAGGAAAACTGTGTGTAATCAAATGGTAATTAAACAACTGTACTCAACATTATATAGTTAAGAAACTTGAGGTGATCTTGAAAACATATCCACCGTCTGACCTTTGATACTTACGGATATTACAACAAAATATTTAATAAATTTGAATAAATTTGATAGTGCATGTTTTTTCATGTACAGTGTATTTTGGTCAATTTCAAAATTTTATCTTGCATGTTAATGGGCATATAGGTAAACTCTGCACCATTTATTCATTCCTCATGAGCATATCTACAACTTGGGCCTTAAAGTAGGTCATGCATATCAAATTTGGTTAAGTATGTACACTTGAGGGCATGTTACACACGTTACTGTATTTTAGTGAGCACTGAATATAACGCAAGTTAGAAAGACACGTTTATTTCAACTTCAGTTGTAAACCATGAAGTTTACTAACAGGTTCCATGTGAATAATTGTTCCCTTTTTACAAAGGCATATATGTTTGCAATGCTAAAGAAATTATTTATAAACTATTTTAATTTTTAAATTTTTTCGGTGAGTAAAGAATAGTCAAAGTTCATATAGCTACTGATAGATTTATATATTTATAAATTGTATGTGTATAATTATGTAGGTATGTATATGCATATCTAATAGTAACATAAGGCTGGTGAATGTGTCATAAATTACCTAACTTGTATATACTAGTTATTATTGTATATAAGAGTTATGTAGATAATTTTGAAATACAAAGAATTACTGTATATTTTATTTATTAAACCCAGTCTAAACTTTTAATAATTCTTATTCCGATAATAATTCGCTTGAAATGGGGAGGGGAATTGCCTAAGTGCTGGTGAAAGGCTTCTGATCCAAGGAACTGAAGGTACTCTTCATTTCCTCGGCTCAAGTCTCTCTTCCATTCCCCAAGTGTTGTGTCTTCTTCGCGATTACAAAGACCTAAATCTGTTAGGGGTCAGAATGAACTAGGGTAAAAGAGGGCAATCAGGTTGAAACCATTATTTCTATTCACGGGGAGAGCGCTAAACCCATAGGGGTCATACATCCCCTGGGGCAATTCGAACAATCAGGTTTATTCCAGTTATTACATTCATGGGGAAGCACTAAACCTAAGGGGGAAAATGGAAGGAAAGCAATTTGATCCAAGAAAGAGTAGGATAGTTGTAATTTCCTGGATCAAGAGACCTTTACTGGCATAAAGTAAAGGTAGTTGGGCCAACAGTCCCCTCATGGAAGGTTCCTTGATGTTGGTGAGGGGCTCTTGATTTAGGGAATTGGAACTGTGCTCCAGTTCCCCGAATTAAACCTGAATGCCTTCCACATCCCCCCCCCCGGGCGCTGTATAATCCTACGGGTTTAGCGCTTCCCCTTTGATTATAATAATAATGGGCCAACAGTACTTGTTCATCTCAATGGGACTAAGAGAACCTTAGCCCTGGGGTATCATGATTTTATCTGTGTTGGTTTCCCCTCAAGGGAGGTTCCTTGACGCTGGTGAGGGGATTTTGATCTAGGGAATTGGATCTATGTTCCGGTTCCCTGAATTGAGCCTGAATACCTTGGATCCATCCCCATCCCCACATGCGCTGTATAATCCTACGGGTTTAGCGCTCTCCATGATTATAATAATAAAATTCTGTGTGCTGGGTTCCAAGTTAATCAAAACCACCAAGAATGAGAGCTGCCACCTTTGTCTTGCAGCACCTCAGCGTCAACATCCAGAGGAACACTGGCAACCTGAGCTCCACGCCGGCCTCCCAACACGCAAACTCTCCAAATACGGTATATTATATTTATTTGAACCCCTCAAGACAGGCTCCTCGACGATAGTGAGGGGCTCTTGATCTAAGGAATTGGATCTGTGCTCCAGTTCCCTGAATTGAGCCTGAGTACCTTCCACCCCCCACAAAAAGGTGCTGTATAATCCCTACGGGTTTAGCACTCCCCATAATAATAATATATTTATTTGAAGTCCTCAAGATAACTACAAATAAATAAAAATGGTGAAATAAGAAAATCATCTTCAAACGGCTTTTAGGAGAAGCTTGAAATATTTTTCCTTGATTTTTGCTTCTCCTAGGCTATGTGTTCTCATGATCCCCTCAGAGGTGGGGTGCCTTTATCCCTTGGATAAAGGGCTCGTGATCCAAGGGATTGCACCTACCCTCTCTTTCGATCGTACTCGACTGCCTTACATTCCCCAGACATTGTATGACTAATACTAGTTTAGCGCATCGCAATTATAAAATGTTCCTACACTTTCATGACCTTCTGTATTAGCAGATTTTGACACCGTATTTTCCAGCAAACGAGACGCACTTTTTTCCCACAAAATGTCTTGGAAAATTACCCTGCGCCTTATATGCTCGAAGGTCAGGGTCATTGGTAGACTTTGGGCTACGATTCAGCAGTTGTAAGAATGTTTGGGTATCATGGTTGTAAGAATATTATATCATGGCATGAGAAGAACATGATGTCATCTAAGGTATTCGCATTACTATTATATTCACAAAGAGCGCTAAATCCGAATGAGCCGTACAGTGCCATATTACGATATGCTCACCCCTCGGAGTAGGAAAGTTTCTTGACGGCAGTGAGGGAGCTCTTGATCCAAGGATTTGGATCTAACATTTCTTGGATCGATACTGATTGCCTCCCATTCACCAAGGCATTGAATGACTCCTACGGGTTTAACGCTTCCCTATGAATACATTGTACTATGGAGATAAAATGGTATAAAATACCGACACGATGGAGTAACACAAATGTACTATAATGCGATCCTTTATTGACTACGTTTCGCCCACACAGTGGACTTTATTAATTTACAAACAGATTACCTGAGTGAAGAGTACATGAGTATATATATACAGGGTTGATCTATAGATCTGTTTGTGACTTGATAAAGTCCACTGTGTGAGCGAAACGTAGTCAATAAATGATCGCATTATACTGCATTTGTTTTTATATTTCCACATTGTATTATAGTCATAATAAAGCGCTAAAACCGTGGAGGTTATATAGCGCTTGGGAAATAAGAGGCAAACAGAATCGATCCTAGGACGGGGAGCTCCAATTCAAGAGTGCTTCACCAACTTCAATACATCTCATTTGTAGGAAAATATAATAATTAATAATAATAATAATAATAATAATAATAATAATAATAATAATAATGAGGAGACACAAGGTTCGACAAATAATATTTCTGACTTAAAGTGATATCCAAGAAGACTTTGCTGTTGCCATCAGTGAGGTTTCCCTGGACGCTCGTCAGATCTATAACACTCACCTTCCAGAGCTGAGTGATGACCACAACTTCAGTGTTGCCTCTGAACATGACAATATAAATATTCAACAAGTTAGTAGTACTATTTACATGAGGATCTTTCACAGCACCAAGTACGAACTCTTGACACCTCTCATATATCCATGTGTGAAAATACCTTAATGCAGGTGAAATATGAACCATCCTCTCCTCCTCGGATCAAACTTAATTGCCTCCCATTCCCCAGGCGCTGTATGGCCCCTAGTAATTTAGAGCTTCCACACGAATAGAGTAATACTGGATCTCTGCGCACAAGCACATTAAGAAATATTGTAAATATATACAGACAACACACAGTATTACTAATAGTGGGTACTAATAGCATTACTAACAGTCGGTACCTGACCAGCCGGGCTGTGGCTCGTACGTTGGTTTGTGTGCAGCCAGCAGTAACAGCCTGGTTGATAAGGCTCTGATCCACCAGGAGGCCTGGTCACAGACCGGGCCGCGGGGGCGTTGACCCCCGGAACTCTCTCCAGGTAAACTCCAGGTAAATAGAGCCCACGAGGCTACAGCGTGGACCTTACCAGGTCCACACAGCTTTACCTACTTCATCTCTCCGAGATGGATTTTTTTTTCTCAGTAAACTTACTGTATTGTTACTACCTACCTGAGTACGATCAGGAGCCTATAATCTCTTCCTCCCCTTTCCTGCAATCGTAAATGTGTGAGTATACATACACATAAAAGCTGTTTGAGAAGAAAGGAGCAACAAGGCGGAACGTTAGCAGTTAAAGTGGAACCTTGATAAAGCGGTGCAGCCCAACTCTATGCATAGTTAAAAGTAGGACAGGGGGCTAGGAGCTATGGCTAGACCTTTGCACTCACACACAAGTGGCCGTGTCCATCGACAAGTGCCTTTAACAACTGGTAACTAACACACACACACATTATCACAAGAAAACGATGCCAAAATGTCATCGTCAAATTCGAGATTAATAAAATACAAAATTTATCCCCACCACCGAAGCAATATGAACTGTCAGTTTTATTATTATTATTATTCTTTCTTTCAACGTACCAGCCGTATCCCACCGAGGTGGGGTGACCCAAAAGGAAAAACAAAAGTTTCTCCTTTCAAATTTAGTATTATATACAGGAGAATGGGTTACTAGCCCCTTGCTCCCGGCATTTTAGTCGCCTCTTACAACACGCATGGCTTACGGAGGAAGAATTCTGGTCCACTTCCCCATGGAGATAAGAGGAAACAAACAAGAACAAGACCTAGAAAGAAAATACAAGAAAACCCAGAGGGGCATGTATATATATGCTTGTACATGTATGTGTAGTGTGACACAAGTGTAAGTACAAGTAGCAAGACGTACCTGAAATCTTGCATGTTTATGCGACAGAAAAATGGACACCAGCAATCCTACCATCATGTACAACAATTACAGGCTTTCGTTTTACACTCACTTGGCAGGACGGTAGTTCCTCCCTGGGTGGTTGCTGTCTACCACCCTACTACCTAGGTTATTATTATTATTATTATTATTATTATTATTATTGTTGTTGTAGCGGTGGTATTTAAAAGAATAGTTAAACCGGTAGTGGTCAAATAGCGGATGGAAAAATGGGAGGCAGTGAGGTTTGATCAAAGGGAAGGATAGCTCCAATTTCTTGGATGAAGAGCTTTTCACTAGCATCAGCCCTCCCCTACTCTTCCTCCTCTTCTTCTTCCTCCTCTTTTTCCTCATCTTCTCCTCGTCCTCCTCCTCTTCCTTCTCCTCGTCCTCTTCCTTCTCCTCGTCCTCCTCCTCTTCCTTCTCCTCGTCCTCTTCCTTCTCCTCGTCCTCCTCCTCTTCCTTCTCCTCGTCCTCCTCCTCTTCCTTCTCCTTCTCTTCCTTCTCCTCCTCTTCTCTTCCTCCTCTTTATCCTCCTCCCCTGCTCTTCCTCTTCCTCCCCCTCTTCTCTTCATCTTCCTCCTCCTCCTTTTCTCGTCATCCTCCTCCTCCTCCTCCTCTTCTCTTCTTCATCCTCCTCCTCTTTTCCTCTTCCTCTTCTTCCTCCTCCCCTTCTCTTCCTTGTCATCTTCCTCTTCCTCCTTCTCTACCTCTTCATCCTCCTCCTCTTCCTCTTCTCCTCCCCTTCTCTTCCTTCTCATCTTCCTCTTCCTCCTTCTCTACCTCTTCATCCTCCTCCTCTTCCTCCTCCCCTTCTCCTCTTCCTCCTTCTCTACCTCTTCATCCTCCTCCTCTTCCTTCTCATCTTCCTCTTCCTTCTCTATCTTTTCATCCTCCTCTTCTTCTCCTCTTCCTCCTCCTCTTCTCACCTTCCTCTTCCTCCTTCTCTACCTCTTCATCCTCCTCCTCTTCCTCTTCTCCTCCTCTTCCTCCTCCCCTTCTCATCTTCCTTCTCCTCTTCCTCTTCCTCCTTCTCTACCTCTTCATCCTCCTCCGCTTCTC